GTGCCATCATTACCTGTGCTCCTTCGTGTCCTTCATAGTTTATTTATTTTTAAAAAATATATTTTATTTAAAAAATATTGTTTATTGATTTCTGAGAGGAAGGGAGAGATAGAAACATCAATGATGAGAGAGAATCACTGATTGGCTGCTTCCTGCACGCCCCCTACTGGGGATTGAGCTCACAACGCGGAATGGAACCGTGACCTCCTGGTTCGTAGGTGGATGCTCAACCACTGAGCCATGCCGGCCGGGCCTCAGTGCCCTTTAGATGGAGCTTCTGGCTCCATTTCGGCTCCATTTCGTTCTAAAGGAGAGCATCTCAGCACAGTGTGGGGACAGTGTCCTTGGCTGTCTTTCGTCTTCTCCTGCCTGGACCCAGAGCCTGGGCCCTGCTCTGTGGAGTGAGTGGCACGTCTCCGGGGTCGTATGGCTTATCTTGGATGAAAGCTGGGTTCAAATTCCACCTCTGCTGCCTACGTAGCGGAGTGAGCTGGCTGGTCAAGTGGCCTCTCTCTCTCTGTTTCCGCTTCTGTTGACGGTAATCACAGCCCTGACCCCGGGCTTGAAGATTAGCGAGTCACGTAGAGTGCAGAACGCCGCGTGCTCGCTGAAGGCCTCCTGCTGCCTGAGAGGCTCACAGGGATTGGCTTCGGGGAACCCTCCACACTCCCCCGCACACAGGCAGGCAGCGTCTTCAATACAGTGAGCAACCTTGTGGCTGGATAAGGTGCGGAAGGAGGCTGCCGTCTGCGTGGTCGTCTGCAGGCACCTGCAGAAGAAGCACCTGAGCCCCTTTTGCATCCAGAATGGCTGTTCTTGGAGTCAGAGAGCAGCTGCTCAGGACCGGCTTTGGAGAATCCCACCGATGCTATAGAGGAGCCACCCCAGGGAGCAGTTCGCCCCGGCACCCTCACCCCAGGTGCCACCCGCGTGGACAGCTTAGGACATGGCCTCCCTTCACCCCTGACTACTCCCACACCGCCCCCTCCCTGCTGTAGGCTCAGGGTGCAGAGGAGAGCTCCGAAGGTACAGATGTTTCCAAGATAAACACGCACCACATGATGGCCGTCTGATGCCGGGAGCGGGCCTTGTCCAGTCCTCTCAGGCTGGCAGGTTGTCTGGATGGTCAGGGGCAGCGTGGCAATCGGGGGCCAGCCTCGTGCCCCTAACACCAGGTGGACACAGTTACTCTGACTGCTGCCACTCTGTGGTCACAGACACCTGAGAGTTGATGGTCAAGGCTGATTAGCTGAGGCTGTGAGCGAGGCAAGAAGGCCCTGGGAGGGGGGTGGTGTTCTCGAGGCTCCCAAAGGCCCTGCTTTGCTGGGCTGTGCTGACCTGGACCCCGGGGCCCTTTCTGGCTCCCTCCTCCAGGTGTGCACGGCCTTCCCCGCCGAGGACGCCCGGTACGGGCACGTCAAAATGCACCACGGCTACACCAACGTGCTGGGCCTCGGGGACTCGAGCACCTGGAGGCTGCCTTGCCTCAACCGCTACGTCTACATGTTCCTCGCTCCTCTCCTGATCCCCGTCATCACGCCCCTGGTGGCGGTCGGTGAGTGTGCCGGGCCTGGGTCCCGAGTGGCCGGCAGAGGCCTGGTCTTCCCTTTGCTTCCTCCCCTCCTCGCTCGTGGAGGCTGCTCATGGAGGAGGGGAGGAGCCCTGAGTGAAGACTGGACAGGAACTTTCTGAGGCAGCCAGGCCGGGTGGAAAGAGTCTGGCTTAGCCGCGTGCGGGCTGGTGACCTCAGGCAGGTAACTTCACCTCTCTGAGCCTCGGGTTCTTCCATGTTCATTATTACCTAATGAGACCATAGATGTAAAAACGCGTTGAAAATGCCTCGCACTGTATTGCATGTTAGAATTTTTTATTTTTATATTTTTAAAAGAAACTTTTTAAAAAATTTTTTCATTGATTTCAGAGAAGAAGGAAGGAGATAGAAACATCAATGATGAGAGAGAATCATTGATCAGTTGCCTTCCACACGGGCCCAGTGAGCCCGCAACCCGGACACGTGCCCTGACCGGGAATCGAACCGTGACCTCCTGGTTCATAGGTCAATGCTCAATCACTGAGCCACGCCGGCCAGGCCCATGTTAGACTTTTTAATACCATGGGAGCAAATCCTCTGGTGGAAGGACAGGGGCTGGGGGGCGGCAGACCTGGGTTCAACCCCAGGCCACCAGTCACTGTCAGAGTGACCCTGGCCAAGCTGCCTAATGCTCCATCTCCTCATCCGTAAGGTGGGTGAGTCCACTTTCGGGGCCGAGTGCGGATGACCCAGGTCGCCTAGTTAGCACCCCTGGGCCGGCAGGGAGCCAGCTGGGATGGGGAGCCTTGCCCACCCGTCACTGTGTTTCTTGCCCCCTGCAGAGCGGCTGAGGAAGGTGAGGCTCGGGGCAGCTCTGCGGGCGCTGGCCCTGATCTCCCTGGGCCTTTATTCTCACTACTGGCTGCTCCGGCACGTGTCTGGCTTCCGGAGCCCCGCCTCGGCCCTGGCCTGCATGCTCTGCACCAGATCCCTGCTGGCCCACCCCTACCTCCACGTTAACGTCTTCCAGGTGAGGCCTCCCCCCTGGCCCTGGGCGCTGGGGACCACGCGGTACCCAGACCACGCCCCTCACTGGACAGATGGGGAGAGAGGCCCAGAGATGGACGAGACTGAGCTCAGGGTTCAGCCTCTACCAGGTCCTGCCCGAGTGGGAGTGGGGGGGGGGCAGAAGGGCCCACTGATCCCTGAGTGCCAGGCGAGGACACCGCGGCGGGGTGGGGAGGTGCAGGAACGGCTCAGGCCGTGACCCGCGTGTCTGTCACAGCACATCGGGCTGCCCATGTTCTCGCGGGACAAGAAGCCCCGCCGGATTCACATGATGAGCCTGGGGGTGCTTAACCTGCCCCGGCTGCCCGTGCTGGACTGGGCGTTCGGCCACTCCATCATCAGCTGCCATGTGGAGCACCACCTGTTCCCCAAGCTCTCCGACAACATGTGCCTAAAGGTAGTGGGGGTGGAGCTGGAGGGCTGGTAACCCGCAGCATTCGCCTGAACCCCGCGTCCCCCAACCGGCCTGGTCAGAGGTCCCCAGTGGGGGTTTCCGGTCGGAGACACGTGGGTTTCTTATTAGCAGTGCGGCTCAACAAGTTCATGGGCATCTCTGAGCCTCAGCTTCCTCATCTGACCTGGGCAGATGAGGAGCACGCAGTGCTTACATGCACAGGCCTTGAGCATGAAGTGGAGAAACGGATCTGAAATGCTGGGCACGCAGTAGGTGCTGCTAAAAGGAGCCCTGGTTTGTACCCTCTGTGCAAGGAGGACTGTCATGTAGTGGGGAGCCCTGGGGGATGCTGCGGGGAAGTCCACCCCCCTTTCCCTTGCCTGCTGGGAGGGGAGAGGCAGGAACTCTGGAAGCCCCCAGCTCCTCCTGAGCCTGTGGAGCTAGGCAGACAGGCGCTGGAGCTGGGAGGAAGGAGGGCCCCGGGAAGGGCCTGCCCGCAGCCCGCAGCCCGGCTCATCGCGCCTCCAACCGCCCACCTTCTGGCAGGTGAAGCCGGTGGTGTCCCAGTTCCTCCGGGAGAAGCAGCTGCCTTACAACGAAGACACCTACCTCGCTCGCTTCCGGCTGTTTCTCAGTCGCTACGAGGAGCTCCTGGTGCACGCTCCTCCCATCACTGAGCTGGCAGGGCTGCAGTGAGGGCGCTGGCGCCGTCCCCCTGCTCCCCTGCCCGGGCCCAATCCCGGACCTGCTTGTCACTCCCCAGTGGGTGTGGCTGGGCTGCTGGTGGCCGACCTGGAGCGCCCAGGCACTGGGCGGGCAGAGAGCCAGGGAGCTGGTGTTTCTCTGGGCTTTGAGGGGTGTATGGAGGAGAGGGGTGTGTGGAGGAGAGGGGTGTATGGAGGAGAGGACTAAAGGTGGCTGGGCATTCTGGGGATTCTGGGCAACCTCATCTCAGGACTACACAGCTGGGCTCCTCCCCGGCTTGGCCTGAGCCTTGGTAGGGCTAAGGGAGGGTGACCGGGTGAGGAGGGGCCTGTGCAGGGGGCAGGCGAGGAGGGGGCGTCGAGAGAGCAGGTCAGCCCTCAGCTAGGGTCTCCCTGGCACTGGGAGAGTCGTATACGCAGCTGGCCACCGCTTCTTCCTGGGCCCCGGGAGCCTCGGGCCTCTAAGGAGCCCTCTCGCAGGGACCACGGGCGGTGACTTTGGCAGGACCTTCCCAGCTTCCGGGCCAGAGGAGCCCGTGCAAGACACTGGCTCAGCAGCTCCCAGGAGCCGCAGCCTCAGGGAGAGCAGGGTTTGTGCTTTATAAATAAAGAGGACATTCCCGGTTCAGGAAGTAAGGGGAGAAAGAGTATAAATAGCTTTGAGCGTGATCTTGGCTAGCTCCCCAAGTCTGCCTTGTTCCATGACATTTAGAAGGAGAGGACCTGAAGAATTATCATTGAGAGATAGATGAGAGAGAGAGAGAGAGAGAGAGAGAGAGAGAGAGAGAGAGATTACTGGGAAGGTAACAGGCCAGGGGGTGATGGGCACAGGGGCACAGGGGCTGGAGGGCAGTGACTTTAGAGAGGAAAGGAAGGAGGAGAAGGAGGTGGGGTGCAGACACAAGAGCTGGAAGTCTAGGGCTGGGCCGGGCAAGCGTCGTCCGCAGCCCGGGAGCCGGCTGCATGGGCAGACTTGACAGAGGGCCCGAGCTGCCCTGGCCGGGCTGGAAGAGGAGGTGCAGGAAGGGCCCAGCTGGAGGCCGGGGAGGAACAGAGACGGGAGGGGGGGGGGCGGAGCGATCAGTTTAACCAGCGTTTCTCCCCTCCGCACTATGACCCGTTGCGGAGAATGCTCTGTCGATGGGGCCTGTCCGGTGCATTGCAGGGTGTTCAGCGGCATCCCTCGCTCTACCCGCTGCGTGCCCGGAGTCCACGTGGTGACAATCACACATGTCTGCAGACACGGATGAGAACCACCCCTGATTGACAGCATAAATCATGATCTGAGGGCAGAACCGCCTTGGTTTTCAGTGAGGTCCTTGGGCGGGTGAAAGGCACGCGGACCCTGTTGATGGGCTAAGTCAGCGAACGGGGTTGGGCGGCGGGGTCAGATGGCAGCTGAGAGGCATTCTCTAGGCCTGGTCCTGTCGGAGAACCCACCTCTGGTGTGGCCTGAGGTGGCTCTGCTGGGTGGCTGCCATCCGCCCTTCCCGTCCTTCCCCCACTCCTCTCCACCCTGCCCCTCGCACAGCCCCTGCCTTCGCTCCTTTGGGGGGCGGGGGGGGCGGGTAGGGGTGGCTTTCAGCGGTTGGTAGCCAGGGGCGCTTCACTGGTCCCTCAATCCTGCTCATGCCTCTGTACAAAGCTCCTTTAGAGAAGCCTCTACCGGTCGGCACTGCCAAGCTGCCATCTGTTTCCTGCCGGGAGGCTGGCGGGCCCAGCGGAGCTTGGGATCCAAGCAGCCCTCTTGGAGAGGCAGGCTTGGCAGCTTCCCAGCCCGCTGCGTCGCTACACTCCCGTGCTGCTCTTTTGAAACGCACTAGTAGCTCAGAATGCGTCGCCCAGGGTGCGACTCATCAACTGCAATGTCACATGAAAATGCG